CTCTCTCGTTTTTTTTCTTGCTCGTGAGCTTGACCTCATTGCTTTCAGTTATTGGGTCAGTCTAACAATTCGCAACCGTAAGGTAAGTGTATAGTGGGTTCAAATGTTTATGTTTGTTGCACAAAGGCTGCACCCAAAACGAACATATCTGTAATGTTGGAGAACAACGATATTAAATGATTGTTAATCAAATGTTATGACAAAGTTAAAATGTAACGAAATTAAACAATTAGCAATAAAAAAAAAAACTAATTCAAAATAAATAAATATTTAAAAAAAAAAGGTTGGGAGGTTGTAAAAGTTTAATTAAAAAAAATTGAGAGAAAAATATAACGTAGTTACAAAAAGAAATAAAAAACATTAATCGATTAGGTTGAAAATCAAAATGATATAACGAAGCGAAATAAAAATTATTGATATCGTTTTAATAATAGAAAAATGTCATAAGCGTTTTATTTAAGTCAGTCAAAATATTGTCAATGAGAGTTTGAATAAGAGTAAAATGCATTTCTTTTGACACAAAGAGACAATGTATAAGTACTTAACACAATTAGTCAACTGTTACTTCAATTATGTCGTTATTTTTTTTTAATCGACGACTAATAGGTGAAAATGTGTTACTTAGAAAGTTCCTTAACCGATTAAGTTTACGAATTGGATTAACAATGCGAGCGTTGTCTAAAACAAATGTTAAACTTGATTGGAAAACCTTCATTAAGGTGATTTTTTTTTTCTTTATGCTTATGCGCAACTTGTCTCTGTCTCAAACAAATATTAAACTTGATTTCGTTATCGCATTTCATGTGGTCTCTTCATGCGTTCTTTTCTACATCTCTTCTTCTTTTATCTCATTTGTTGATTACATTTTCATTGTTTTCACTCATTCGTAGTTTGTGTCCTCCTCCTTAATCCTTGCCCAATAACATATTATATTTCGACTACTGCATTAATACTTCTCACCCATGTTTAGATTTTTACGCTCTCTACCCTTGCTTAATTTGGTTGCACCTATTGTACTATTTTATATGTCTCCCCCTAT